AGTAATTCTTAAGATTAGCGCGTTCAAACAAACAAACAAAAAACTCTTCAGCGTTTTAATATGAACTTGTTGTTGTTAATTTTTGGCGTCGAACCTTAGACCAGGCATACGGCTAGGCAACGTAGTCATGCAGGAGGATACAAGGAAGAGGGGCAGCCACAGTAGGTAACACAGAGTCGTTCAGGTGAGTGTCAGGAAAAGGTGACAACGTGAAAAGGTGAAAACCACTTTTTGATAGGGTAAGTCCTTTACGCGGTATAACCGGAAAACCGAAAAAATGCCTCTTTCGGGGGCCCCCACCACTTAAGCACAACTCCGTCGAAGTCGAAAACTTAGGAGAGTCTTAATGGGCAACCAATGAAGCCATTAAAACAATAAAATCTTTTGTAGGAATTATTTCCGATTTAAAAGCTAATTCTACTGGACTAATTATTTGAGGAAGTTTCCTCATCAGCCAGATTCTGATGGTTTCTTCGCCTTGCCAGACAGCTTTTAGGGTGGCTGAAAGTGCGAACGCGAGGCACTATAAATATTGTTTTTTGTACTTTTTCTTAAGTTACTCAAGTATTTGAGTCTGTAAATCATCATGTCATGTTGATGAGCTGATGATGGAAGGTAAGTACAACTCCTTAAGGCTTAGGAGTTGGAGGACAATTCTTTAACCAGTATATACACCACTAAATTTTTATCACCGAAAAAATTTTAACAGGTTATGTAGAAACGTGTGAAATATTTAAAGCAAATGAAAAAGAAATGTTTTTCATAAAGATATTTTTTTTATAAAATTTTCTTTAGTCCGTATTTTACGCGTCACAGCTTTGTCACTCCGCTGCTCGCTGGAGTAGTCGTACGCGCTCGCACGTAGCATCGATCTGTCTGTCTCGCTCACGCCTCGAACACGCTTCTAGTGTTATTATTACATACTTAGCTAACTCAGACCATTTTGATTTCTTATAAGTGTTACATTTTCATACGTAAATAGTGCTAGCGACGCGTGTCCATAAATAACCAATTTTACGAGGAAATTTTGAGTCACTTTATTTAACTTCTTTTTTTGCACAAATGGGATCAGTATCAATGACTCATTACCCAGAATTTTTTTTTCGGTGATAAAAATTTTGTGGTGTATAAGTATAGTTTCTACAGTTATTTGGCTGTTTGCATCAGCTAGTCATCATCCCATGTTGATGGAAGGTACAACTCCTTAACGCTTAGGAGTTGTAGGATAATTCTTATAATATTGTAGGTACGTATAGACTGACAAATACAGGCTTCCCAGTAAGTAATCGGAGATACTTGTGTTGGGAATGTCTCGCCTCGCATCTTTCCAAACGGTTAACAAAATTACATAGCTTTATGCAAAATACAATTTATAAATGTACAAAAGAGTGAGTGAAAAATTATGATATGTGAGGCATGCAAGTGCGTATGCGTGTGTGTGTATGTGTGTGTGTCCAGTCAAGATTATTTATAGGTCGTATCGAACAGTCTGGAATGCATTCTCTCAGCGGTCGCAGGTTTTTTATACTTGTACACAGATGGCCCGCGCCCCCTTTAAAGGTCTTTGTGCCTCCCCTGGGGGCGCGCCCCCCACCATGGGAACCAATACCTTAGTTACGCCCGTTTTCACCATCAATCCCTAATTTTAAAGTGACCCCTATGGTAAGTGTTACCATAGCGAAAAGGTCTTACCTTTTCGAAAAAATGCGGGATTGTAATCACAGCCTGTGATGGCATGGAATCCTGGCAAGCTCTTGCAAACAGATTCTCCTAATTTTGCGTATATTTTTGTGAGGTCTACGTATCTTAAGTTGTTTCCAGTGCCTATCAGCATCCAAAGAAGTAAATTTTGTAGTCGGTGCATATGACCAAGCATGATGGCTGCAATATCGGTATCGACACTTCTAATCACAATATTGACTTGATTTGGAATGCTATAGATGACCCACGCTGAACTGTCCCGCCAAACTCAATGACAGGGGGGCGCTACCATCGTTCAACTATATGGTTTCCAACATGGCAAAAATCGGAACCAGCGATCCGGTATTGACGGTGGCGCCCCACTGTCAATGTCATGCACAGGACAGTTCAGTATTTTGGAACTATACACGCATTACTAGACGTCAAGAAATTGAAATGATGAATTTTAATTGCTGTGATGGGGCTGGGTGTTACTATGTATAATAATTATGTATGTATTTACAAAAAAAAGTATTTAAGTATGTTTATATCCGTTGTCTAGTACACATAGCTTGCTTAGTTTGAGACTATAATTGTAGTGTAAAATGTCCAGGCATATTTATTTATATATTTATTTATCTATAATTTATGTATAATTACTTTAAACAGTGTGGAATTTCCCATGAATTCGGTGTTGTCTGTGGATGTCATGGATCCATTAACTGGTGAGTCAATTAAAGCTAATAAAAGTAAAACGTCCTCTTCATCACTATCCATCACTGAAATCAAATGCTCTGCAGAAATTACAACGTGACTGACGTGTATATTCTTTGGCGACTCACAAATGACTAACTGTTATATTACCGCATACCCACTGGGTTTTTTCTGCCGCAGACGGTAGAGAATACCGCTTAGGTCTGAACAGTATTATTACCGCATACCCACTGGGTTTTCTCTGCCGCAGACAGTAGCTAATACCGCTTAGGTCTGAATAGGCCTTAATGAGTAAAAAACTTCACTAAAATATTTTTGCTTCTTAATTTATTCTTTGTTTAGCATAATAATACAATTATTAAATTTGTCATTTAATTAATTGATACCTTCGAAAAAAAATTTTTCGTTTACATCGTCAAAATAGCCCAAAATTGCGCACTTGACTTCATTCTCACTGGAAAATTTCATACTTCTAAGCTTTTTCTTCATTTAAACAAAAAAATGGGGATAATAGCTGAGGGCTTGATCTGGGCTAAGAAGATTTTCCAGGATTCGAAGCCTTTTGAATAATAGCCACCACAACTTGCACCTTAAGGGCTGCCACGATGGTAGGTGTCTGTCAATGAATGACGTCATTTCTGTTCGAGAGTGTGCCTCTCTTTACATAATTCCTGGGAACTCTTGCCCCAACCCTAGGAGGTTATTTTTCAATCATAACAACACTTCAATACTCACACTTTATTATTGTTTAAAACATTTTAAACAAAGCCCTTACAATTTACATTATCAAAATCTATTAAATATTAAACACAATAAAACATTTTCCAACTAAGTCTATCGAAATACAATGTCACATTTTCTAGCTTTTCTTCACCTGTCATATTTTCAAAATTGATTCTGTTGCTGTTTACTTTTAACCCTTACACGCTTATAACAATTCCTGATGACAAATTTTAATTTTCTTTGTTTATATCTATTTTAGTCTAATTAAACATAAAAGTAGTGCATAAAGCAGAAGTTCTATATATTTCAGTGTTTTTCAGGAGGGGACGTATGTGTCCCTGTATGCGTTAAGGTATACATTTCTCTTATATATTTTAAATAAAATACTGAAGTGTTTTTTTGCAAAATAAACAAAAAATATGCTTATATAAAAAAATATTTATTCAAAAAACATACATATTTATAAAATTTAATGATACTCGACGAAACAGTTGCGTTCGGAGGTGTAACATAAATGAACATTACATGTAGAGCATGTATTATTTGTGCGATTCTCTGCCCGTGTTTTCGCGCACTGCATGCATCTTTTTCTATTATTCACTTTTACCATTACATGTGTGGCTATTCCGCGTTTTTGAGTAAGTTCAATTCGTTTCTTCGTCATAACTTTGGACGGTGGAGCTCTCTGACGTGAAGAAAAACAACCAATGAGGAACGAGCCACTACCTGCCGAAATTTGAGGCTTGAAATCCGCGATTCTTCAATAAGTTTGGCTTCATNGGTTATTTGATAAATTTCTCCAAAAAATGCCCCTATAACAGGTGGTTTTTATTATTTTGTATTATTCTCTATCGTATTATCTTTGTAAAACCAAAAATCGCATGTCTCTATCCCTATCACAACATTTGCTATGATCGTTTGAACAAAGGCCTGCCACAACATTATTCTCCGCTACAGGTCGAGACAATTTTAATTTTAACTAAAATGCTTATTTTACTTCGAAATCTTTTGTTTTTATTTGAAATCTAACTTGTCTTTATCAAAATTACAAATCTAGAGCCATTTTCAGTTTCGTTGTTAACGAAGCGTTGAATGGCGCGCCCGGAGAGGCTTAGTTCAAACGATCATTGCAAACGTTGTGATAGGGATAGAGACATGCAATTTTTGGTTTTACGAAGATAATACGATAGAAAATAATACAAAGTAATAAAAACCACCGGTTATAGGGGCATTTTTTGGAGAAATTGATCAAATAACCAAAAAAACACGAATTTAAAAGCATTTTTTTTTCAAAAAGTATCATTTTTTATTATTTGTTGGCCTTTTTTGTGCATTTTATGTATTTTTTTAGTATCGCCTGTTGTTTAGCATTATTATTGTTTTTATTTTATCAGGATATACCGCTTAGTTTAAATGTTATTACGTTTTCTTTACAATAAGTAATTGGAAGAAAAAAAATTCTATAAGAAATTAAAAAAAAAACTCAAAAATTTTTTGACCTCTTTTTTGTCGATAAAAATAGGTCTAGTTTCATTTATTTTCATATGTACACTTTAACGTGACTCACACTGTATATTTTATGGTCCCGACATGTAGCAGTTAAATAATGAAAATCACATTTCGCAACATAAAATCATAAATATTTACAAAATGGGGAAATTATAGCTTATTTTAATTCGTTCCGTGCATCAAATAAAGTGTCACGTGTGTGAATAATACGAAAGGCCCATTATCAAAATAATTGTACCTATAGACATCATCCAGTACCTATTTGAAATAAAAATAATATTCACTACCACATAAGTTCCGTTTTTTAGTGTATTTTCAGTTTCAATATTATTTGAACATAGGCTCAATTCCATGTCATTACATCAGTACCAAATATGTATTATCTTTTCCAGGACTACACGACGTACATTCTCCATCGTCTATACCACACCCCGTGGCTGTACAAGCACTTCCACAAGCTCCACCACAAGTACAAGCAGCCAACCGCGTTCTCAGTGACAGCCATCCATCCCTTTGAAATCATGCACGTGCAGCTAACCAGCTGCTTGCCGCTCTTCTTGTTCCCTGTGCATTGGTGTGAGTATCGTGTGTCCTAGTACAAGAACGTGACTGCATTCTCAGTGACAGCCATCCATCCCTTCGAAATCATGCACGTGCAGTTAACCAGCTGCTTGCCGCTCTTCTTGTTCCCAGTGCATTGGTGTGAGTATTAATTGTGCTAGCACAGGCAGCCGACTGCGTTTTCAGTGACAGCCATCCACCTTCAAGATTACGTATGCTGCTCATCCGCTGAATGTAGCCCTTCCCGTTCCCAGTAAATCAGTGTGAGTATTCAGTGTTCTAGTACAAGAACGTGACTGCGTTCTCAGTGACAGCCATCCACCCGTTCGAGATCATGCACGTGCAGCTAACCAGCTGCTTGCCGCTCTTCTTGTTCCCTGTGCATTGGTGTGAGTATTGAGATTATCGAGTAAAATAAGCTGCAGTTTACTTTTAATAGTGAGATCAGATTGCAGTCATTCTCAGTGTCTGCCATCCACTTTTCACATGATATTGCTCGAAGTGAGCAGCGTGCCTCTCTTCTTGTTTTTCACACATTCCAGAATCGAGTTTATGGAGCCAACAGTGTCTTATAAGATTTTAAACTTTCGCATTCCATTTCAAGTCTTACTGTTTTAGTTCCAACAGTGTTTTGTCTTGAGTTAAGACATGTTAACCGTCTTTCCCGCGCGTTGATTGTGTTAGTATCGTGTCTATCAAATTCTCAATGACAGCAAAAACAGCGTTCTCAATGAGGCACCCTTCACCCTTTATTCGAGATAGTTCAAGATCATCTTCCTTTAATTACTTTTATTTTACATAGAAGTGTGAATTCTTTCGGGTAACATGGAAAGTATTGGGGGAGGCCCATGTTCAGCAGTGGACGTCCTATGGCTGAGATGATGATGATGGTGAATTTTGTCTTTATCCAACGTGCCTGTATTTAATACTTCAAATCTCTTTCCAGTCCCATTCTACATCATCGCACTCTATAACTACTACCACGGCATCATCGACCACTCGGGCATCAACTTCAAGGCGCAGTGGTGGCAGCCGTGGCAGCCTGATGCTGACTTCCACGACAAACACCATGAGTTCTTCCATTGCAACTTCGGGTTCAACATGACGCTTTGGGATAAGGTAGGATTTTAACCAAAAAAGTAGAAACGAAGCCACGCCACGATAGCCGAACGGTGAAGGGTTGAACTGGCCGACTCGTGATCCGGAGAACGCGGGTTCGAATCCCACCACCGCTTGACGATTGTGGTGAGCTCACTTGTGCCACAAGCATATTTTTAGCTTAGTACGATGGCTGACGGGACTTTGTGAAATAAAAAATTGCTAATAATCTAAAAATGAAGAAACTTTATTATTCATCTGTAGACCTTCAGAGCACCTAATATACACGCGCCAAGATAACGTGCCCTACAGCCTACTTAGATAAGGGATAAAGGAGGACTCGGGTGACTTTTATTTAATGGAAATTTACTAGTCTATGAGCACCTTACTTACTTCAGAATAACCTCATGATTTTCCTGAATCATGTACAAGTATTGATCATTTCATTTTACTTTGAAATTTTTAGTAAAATTGGAATAAAAGTAAAAAGCTTTAAAATGACGTAAATCTAATACGTGTATTCTTTTAACCCTTACACGCTTATAACAATTCCTGATGACAAATTTTAATTTTCTTTGTTTATATCTATTTATTTTAGTCTAATTAGACATAAAAGTAGTGCATAAAGCAGAAGTTCGATTTATTTCAGTGTTTTTCAGGAGGGGACGTATGTGTCCCTGTATGCGTTAAGGTATACATTTCTCTTATATATTTTAAATAAAATACTGAAGTGTTTTTTTTTGCAAAATAAACAAAAATTATGCTTATATCAAAAAATATTTATTCAAAAAACACACATATTTATAAAATTTAATGATACTCGACGAAACAGTTGCGTTCGGAGGTGTAACATAAATGAACATTACATGTAGAGCATGTATTATTTGTGCGATTCTCTACCCGTGTTTTCGCGCACTGCATGCATCTTTTTCTATTATTCACTTTTACCATTACATGTGTGGCTATTCCGCGTTTTTGAGTAAGTTCAATTCGTTTCTTCGTCATAACTTTGGACGGTAGAGCTCTCTGACGTGAAGAAAAACAACCAATGAGGGAACGAGCCACTACCTGCCGAAATTCGAGGCTTGAAATCCGCGATCCTTCAATAAGTTTGGCTTCATGCATCTTGCAATAAATTATGTATGAATTATTCATTGCGATATCTAGCAAGTCGAAAAATAATCTCAGGTAGTATTTTATTTTTGCCTTTCTATCCACCTCGTAACACACTTTCTTTTGATCCATCAGATCCACTCCGCCCATATTTTTGTTGTACTTGACAACAACTTCAGGGCAAGTTACATTGATTTTCTCACCATTACCTTGTGCACGCCTCTTGACTGTCGTTGTTGGTATGGGTGACAAGAAATTAGTCAACAAGAAAACCGCTTTGTTATCCATCCATTTTATAAAAGATATCCCATTACAACTGGTCGCGAAAATATCTCCACGAATCATGTTTTTATCAGTTGGTACATTTTTTGGTATATGTTTTCTGGTTGATCGTACAGTTCCACAAGCCTTTATGTTCATATTTGCTAGTAAATGTTGCAAATTTGGGGAATTGAAGAAGTTATCAAAATATATTTCACAACCTATACCCTGTAAACTTTCAGCCAACTGCAACACAACCGATTCGCCCAATCCAGTTTCAGTGCCACCTTTTTTCTTCCCTGTGTAAAGATCAAATTGAAATAGATAACCAGTAGAAGAGTCTGCCCTGCACCACATCTTGAACCCCCACTTTATTGGTTTGTTTTTGACATATTGCTTCATTATATTATGACCTTTAAATTTGACCATATGTTCATCTATTGCCTGGGTTTTTGTGTTGGTCATAGCGCTTTGAAAAGCTTCGTTGAAATGATCTATAATAGGTCGTATTTTGAATGCCCTATCATAGCAGGGTTCTGTCCTATTCGGTTCATTGGAATTGTCGCTAAAATGCAAGTTCCTGCGTATTTCTTCGAACCGGTTTAGAGGCATCACGTTAGCAATATAAGGAACTCCCATGTCAGCATCAGTCGACCAATAGCTTCTAAACGTAGGTAAGCAATGATAGCCCATCACAAAGTTCATACCGAAGAAAGCTTTGGCTTCTTCATTGGTCATAGTAAAAGATCGGCCATTCTGTTCAGCGCAAAGTAAAGATTGAGGAACAATAATTGTATCGATCAATTTCTCAAAGCCAGACACTGCATTGAAAATTTTTACAGGGCTCAATTCCATAACAGAGGTGCTATCTAAAATGCGTACTTTACCGAAGTTATATCCTTGGGTCTCACAAAAATTGCGCGGTGAATATGAGTTTTTTCGCCAGTTGAAAGAAGGAATAGTAATTCTAGATTGTTGTTGTTGATTTTCACTTATATTCTCTTCTTGAGGCGCTGAGCTTGGTTCAATTTCAACAGTTGACATACCTGCATCCAAATCTTGAGCTAAAAAAGTTTGGTCCTCATCATCAAGTGGCAAACCATCCTCGTCGTCACTGTTGTCAGCCAACAAAAGTTGAAAAATCTCGTCTTCCCGAAGCGAAAACTCCTTATATCGATTTGAAGACATTATCTGCAATAAAACATATACGAATATAATAATAATATTATGATTATGATAAGGCAAATAATATCATTATTTAGAAGCAAAAGTCTCCTTTGGTGCATACTGGGACGCCCGCGTCCCTTTACAGTTTTTACTTATTATTCATTCATTTTACAAAGAAAAGCTAAAATATGTAATGAAACGTTAATTTTACTTACCAATGAATATAATTCACAAGAAAAACAGTCGTAAAATGTCGTTCACTAACAATACAAAATGTTTTAATATTGACGTCTGGTGAAAAAAAATTCCGTGTTTCGCGCCACTAACTTTTTTGACAGATAATGTTTTTTTCTGGTGTGGCCAGCGCGCAAACTTAAAATACTACTATAAAATTTTAAAATATAAATCTAGCAAAGGTTTTATTTGGCAAGTTTTAGAGTAAATCGTGAAAATTATGTGGGGACAAATGCGTCCCATATGCGTGAAAGGGTTAAATCTAAGTTCTTAAACGATAAATTAACATTCGCCATGTTTGTCAACGATTTATCAAAGTCAACGACTCAAAATTGTATTTTACTGGACATCTCAGCTTAAATATTTTTGATTCAAACATTGCATCCTTCTCATGCTTTCTCAAACGCTTTTCAATTTCCCTTTGTAACAAATCTTTGTCATAGTAAACGTGCTTTCCATACAACGTGCATCCCAGTGGAATGCACGTAGTTAGCTTGTTGTCACACGAAGCACGTGCAGCTCTTTGCATGGTATTTGTATTCGTCTACCGACAAATGAGAACATCTATGCAGATCTGAAATACGTCTAGATAACAGCCTGAAAAAAAATTACATCTTCTAAAAGATAACTTATTTAATTTTTATAAATAAATTAGTGATTCTAGCTGAAGCCTTAACCCTTAATATTAACCTTAGCCTTTGGAGCCTTAACCCTAAATAGCTCTATTGAACTATGATAAGCTAAGCTCTGTGTGTGTCTGACATACCAAGTTTAGGTACCCTTAATAAGCTTTGACACTAGAAAAGACAAAAGATAATCACCTGCCAAACCTTCGCGTTGACCCTGGCAAGCAATAAAACTTCAGTTCTAGGTAGTTACGAACATTGTACTCGAAAGTGGCTCTATGTAAATTCTGAGTGAGATGAATAGCAAGTACAGTCACGGAATGAAAAGGTTCGTCAGTTTTCAAATTGATTCCTTCAACGAGTCGCAAGCACATATTACCTTTTGAAACTATGTTACAGAATAATCTCGACTTAGAGAAAATAATCTTTAACTGCTCGTCAGTAAAGTTCAAAATTATTCACATCAAAGTTGTGTCAAACAACTTGTCAAGAAGATTATTATGATTGACTAGCGGCCGCCCGCGACTTCGTACGCGTGGATTCCGTTTTACCCCCTTCATATATCTTACGCGGTTTAGATTTTTTTCATACAAATGTTTTTTCCCGCTAACTCCTGTTTCCGTGGGAATTTTGCAATATCCTTTTGTAACTAAGCTTTAAGTTTACTAAGGTACTTGCATGCCAAATTTCAAACGTCTAACTTAAGCGGTTTAGATTTTTCATACAAAAGGATTGTCCCGCTAATTCCCGTTCCCGTGGGAATTTCGTGAATTCCTTGTTGTAACTAAGCTTTAAGTTTATTAAGGTACCTAAATGCCAAATATCAAGCGTCTAACTTAAGCCGTTTAGATTTTTCATACAAAAGGATTTTCCCGCGAATTCCCATTCCCGTGGGAATTTCGGGAATTTCTTGTTGTAACTAAGCTTTAAGTTTACTAAGGTACCTACATACCAAATTTCAAGCGTCTAACTTAAGCGGTTTAGATATTTCATACAAAAGGATTTTCCCGCTAATTCCTGTTCCCGTGGGAATTCCTAAGTATACTATAACCTGCCCAGGAGTATGAAGAATAATTGTATCAAGTTTCGTTAAAATCCGTCCAGTAGTTTTTGTTTCTATAAGAAACATACAGACGGACAGACAGACTGTTGTAATTAAACGACTTTATAATTAATTACTTGAGTTTTATTAAACAGAACAATGCACATTACAGCAGTGATGGCGCAGACAAGAAAATCATAGTCAACGACCTGTCATCTGTCATTACGTAGCAAGAACGCGCCAATTTCAAATTACTACAACACTCTCTCCAAATTGCAGCGTTCCTCATTCTAACAGTTAAACAATTAATAGTAACAAACAAAAACAATAGGTAGTTACTTTATACATACATATTACTGAACAAAGTATGACAGAATCAAGTTTTATAAGTACAGTTACATCTTACAAATACCTAATTTACTTCTTAGATATTGAAATTTACTTTTAGCTAAGGGTTTAGTAAATATATCAGCCCTTTGTTCATTACTACTTATATACTTCAGAGCAATTTCTTTACTTTCATATTTCTCTTTAACAAACTTCTATTTAATATCTATGTGCTTGCAACGTTTATGATA